GTGTACAATCCGTAATTTTCTTTCCACACCTTCATGAGATGTCAATTTATTCCGCATCGTTTATCGATTTGCCGTATTTTTTTTTCCCACCGAGTCTACAATAATACGCCCCGGGCGATCAATTGATCGATCGTTTCGCCTGAGACACGGGAGTATTCCATTGAAAAAAATGACATTTTTTTTCATCTGCATATCTTTTTACATTGCTGCGCGAAATAAAAAATAACTGCATATATGAGTTAAACTCGACGTTGCGATGTTGTTTTCTTTTGGATTTTCCGAAAAAAATTACAAAGGCGTTGTCTATATTAGACTGTTATAATTGTATTTTTCTTGAAAAACTTTGCCCACAAGAACACGGAAAGAACGATTTCGTTGAAAGGTCTGAAAAATTTTGCTGAATATACAGACCTGAAAAATAATTCTTGTTGAATCATCAAAAAATTTTATCGGAATATTAAAAACGATAAGAATCACTATAAAACGTTTTGATATTCTAGCAATTATTTTGACTTTCCTACAAAATTATTTTCAGATCTGGATTCAGCGAAATTGTTCTTTCTGTGAAGAATATCCCAAAAATAATGAAATATCCTATAGAGTTTTATTTTTATGATAGCTTTGTGAATTATAATTTAAATGTATTCTTAAGTAAATCAATAGAATATTTATTAATAGCTTTTAAGTTTTCTCTATAGCTCTAACTAAAAAGCAAATAATTAAGCAGTTAAATATTACTTAAATTCAATTTTGATTTTTTAAAAGTTTAATTTAAGCTACATATATGGTTAACAATATTTAATACCTATTAAATCGAGATTTAATATCGCAAAAAGCTGCAGTAAGTAATAACGCTTCTTTCAACTCTTGCTGGAGATAAGAATTTCAATTTCATTAAAAAATCCATTATTGAGGCTGAAAGGCAAGATAAGGTCGACAGTTGTGGAAAACCTTGCGCTAGATTTGTATTGACCGAATGCCAATGTAACTAAACGTTACGCCCGTAAAAGCTTACATCATTGCGACATTGTTGCATTGTTTACGCGTTGATATTCATGCGGTTAGCCGCCAGTGTTACCGCGAGACGCGCGCGTTTATCCGAACCGCAAAGCCGCGCGGCCACAAATAATTCAATTCCGTTACATCAGTAGCCGCAACGGAAAAGTGCTGCCGTCTAAATATTTGCCGAGCACTTCGGCAAAGGTTACTCGGGCCTCGTGATTATTTGTTTCTTCATGCCCCGTGGGAAGCCGCGGAGCGGAGCACGCATGTGCGTGCGTGCGCACGAGAGAAATCTCTTTCATCGTCGCGTGAATCGGCGCAATGCACGCGTGTCTCGGCGCGAGTGTCGAAAGTGTTAAATCGCGCTTGAAAATTGTTAAGGTCTCTATTGTAGTTTTTCAAATTTACAATATGTAATCGAAAAAATATATGTACACGGAAAGAACGATTTTGTTGAAAGGTCTAAAAATTTTGCTAAAAACAGATCTGAAAATAATTTTTTGTTGAATTATCAAAATAATTTGTTGAAACTAATAAGCATTACTGTAAAACGTTTTGATGTTCTAGCAATCATTTTTTGATTTTCGCACAAAATTATTTTGGTTATTGAACAAAAATTATTTTCGAATCTGGATCCAGCAAAATTGGTTTTTCCGTGTAACAGAAGGGTATTCCCTGCTTAAAAGATACGACAGATAATGATAGAGATCGATTTAAACTTTATCGAAATTATATTTTATCTAATTTTATAGTAAAGTTATCGTTTCTATCGGACTCACATTTGAGCCATTATAGAGAAATTATCTATTTCTATCGTTTCTTAATGTATCTCTTACTTATACATTAAATACACTTAAATACAAATTTCAACGTGTATGTTTTTTAATATAATTATTATCGAGTTATCTAATCCAAATTGAAAATTATGATTTGTTACATATTTGATTATAAGAGATTGTAAAAAATATTAAAATTATTTATATATAAAAAACCCAAAATCTCTAAAATTAAAATACTAAAATAATAAATTACATAATACAATAAATTATAAACTGAAAACATTGTACGATAATATCAATTTTGACTAAATATGGTCAAAAATAAACATTAAAATAAACATTAAAGCTTAAAATGACTTTTAAATTATATATTAAAATAGAGTAAAAAAAAAGATAACAAATCTGATATTTACGAACCAAAAACACGATAAAATTGTATAGTTTCTTCTTATCTAATTCTGTCGGATCTTTTAACAGGATCGGAACAGGGTTAACAGTCTTTAGATTGAAAGAAGGATTCGCGCGGTACTTGTATAGCGGAAATTAGTAATAAACACAGAATCTATTTTATATGTATTTTAATAGACAAGACGAAAGAGTATAAATATTACCTGCACGATCGAAATATCATAGGCTAATGAGAATCGGCGCGGTAATTGTTGCGCGTAAAGGTTTTTATAATTGTTACAATGTCCAATTATATATATAGACTGCGCGCCGCAATTTTTGTCGGTCTTGCACAACACAATTCTTTTGCATTGCCGGAATATACTTGTAACAAATTAAATTAATGAACAATTTAATATCATTTGATGCTAATAAGCATCTACAAGAATTCCCTCTCCCCCCAAATCTGTAAAGGATTTATTGCGAAAAATATTATTTCAGCTCAGGGTTGTGCCGTAGGTTGTGCCGATTTCAAGATTACGTCTACACGTATTTACGTGAAATCTATATGATGTTTACATGGTCTTTTTGCTACGTAGACAATCTAGAATTGTAAATTATGTAGACTATTGTAAATTGTACCACTAATATATGCAATATAAAAGAATTAAGTTATAAAGCAGTCTCCACCCACTGTAGAAATGTCCAAAATGTATCTAGGAACGGGCTAAAGATACCACGACAGCTTTATTCTTGATGTATTTTGAACATTAATTTAACTACGAGATTACGATTAAGAATGTAACCAGAGAGTTTTTCTTACTCAAATGATAGTTTTTTTTACATAAACGTTAAATTATGTGTATTTATAAATGAATAAATATATAGTCTACTGACTGTCTACATAGATGACACTTATACAATAGTTTACGTTATCTGCACGTAAACGTAGAGTATTATATTTTACGCGTAGATGCACAACCCTGGGCTAAAGATACCACTACAGCTTTAGGATATTCTTGATGTATTTTGAACATTAATTTAACTACGAGATTACGATTAAGAATGTAACCAGAGAATTTTTCTTACTCAAATGGTAGTTTTTTTTACATAAACGTTAAATTGTATGTATTTATTAAATAAATAAATATATAGTTTACTAACTGTCTACATAGACACTGTCTACATGACACTTATACAATAGTTTACGTTATCTACACGTAAACGTAGAGTATTATATTTTACGCGTAGATGCACAACTCTGTCAGCTCCCAGCCGGGAATCGAACTCGGATCTCCCAGTTTGCTGGACGGGCGTCCTATTTCCACTTGATCACCGAGGTGTACGTGGTGATATTACTGATATTCCCCGCAATAGTAATAAAAGTATAAATTTTAATTCAATATTTCGTTAAACGGTGCAATCACAGAGACATGTGTGTCGGGCAAAATTTATTGTTATTTCACATTCTGGGATAGTTTCATCATAATCCTTGATAATGAAGAAGACGTCAACAGACGTGCAGTTGTTCTGCTCGTAAGAACGCTGCAATCGTTTCGATAAGTTGCGTGTCTCTTTATTGTCGAGGCGGCCGCGGCGCGGCGTATATCGAACGGCGTGTGTGCGCGGCGCACTGCAGTCCGCGGCGGGATCGGGAAAAATTCTTACGATCCTTTCCATTCTACGCGGGGCAAGCACTTTGCATAACATTACGCAGAAAGAGAGAGAGAGAGAGAAAGAGAGAGAGAGAGAACGCTCTCGTAAGAAAATTATCGCGAACAAAGCGCGTGGCTGTTATTGGTCCCGGCGCGAGTTAAACACACACACACCCTCCCGTCTCTCCCGTATACATTCTTCCCATTAATTAGCCTCGAAAAAGCGGAATCGTGGCGCCAGCTAGTGAATCACTCAAACTATACGTTACGCCGCGTTCGACTTCGCCTATTTCAATAATATGCCGCAGGCGGTGGAATAAAATTATCGCCGCGCAACGCGCGCGCGCACGCGTGTGTAGGTATAGAGACGCACTTACGTAAAACCGCGCGCCTCGCCTGCCCGACTCGCCGCGCGCCGTGTCCGTGCATAATACGCGTGTATTGCACCTGCGTAGCTTATCGGTATACATATATACTATATGTGCAGTATGCACACGCTACGGCGCCAAGCGATACGCCCAATACGCACGGTAATACTCCTGGAGATCTCATTAAAGATGCTGAAGCGATCAATCATGCAGTCGACGAATCTCGAGAGCCCCGCCGACTGAATTCAGACTCTGTTTTTCTTTTTTTTTTCTTTCGGCGTTCTGAAAAATTTTATTCTCTCCGTTTCGTTTACTTTAAAGAAATTTGCGCGACACAACGGAATTGAGAGAACATATTTTTTAGGCCAGCGTGAAATAATAACAAAAAATTAAATTATATCTAATGAATGCGGCTCGTTATTATAATCACAAACTAGGAATGAAAATTAAAGGCCAAAAACGAGCAAATTGCAAATAATTGTAATGAAATATAATTAAGACACTATCTATTTGCAATTCGCTCGTTTTGGTCTTTAATTTCCATCCCTAATTTATGAACATACATGGAAAGAACGATTTTGTTGAAAGATCTAAAAATTTTGCTAAAAACAGATCTGAAAATAATTTTTTATTGAATCGGCAAAACAATTTGTTGGAATGTTAAAACTGATAAGTATTGCTATAAAACGTTTTGATATTCCAGCAATCATTTTGACTTTCGCACAAAATAATTTTAACTATTGAACAAAAATTATTTTCAGATCTGGATTCAGCAAAATTGTTCTTTCCGTGTATTTGTATTTATTTCGCAGTCAAATTCTGACGAAGAACTTAATTTCACGTTCTAATATTACATTTTTTCCTTTGAACGAGCTATTGAGAAAATACGTTCGGAAATTTGCAAAAAACAGAAATTTCTATATCGGGATGACGCGATAGGGATATTTTTAAGAAGCGCGCTCGCCAACTTCCAATTGTTCGTTCTCGGCCATATCGGTCTCTCGATAGCTATCGAGACGTTCGACCGCGTGTACCAGACGTTTCTTCAACTTCGCGAACTCTTTGGCGGATGTCATTTTGGTTAACGTCGCGGACTTCGTGTCCAGATGACCCGTGGATTTTCTCGACGTGGATCGCAGGAAAGCGCTCAGGCTGACGTCGGCGATCTCTTCCCAGTCCTGAGAAACCGATCCAACAAATGTTTTTATCGAAAAAAGAGATGGAAGAGAATAGAAGCGGCATTGTGATATTGCATTGTGTACGCGCGCGGCAACGAGATTTCTCGAATGACGATTCAAGCTGCTTACTCCAATTTTTCTACAGATATTTAATTCTTTCCAGTTAAAATTATGTATACTTTTCATGCTGGAAGAATATCTCTCTGCACAAAAAAATATATAATCTTATTACGTAACGTATATATAACTGTTATTAGAAACTCATGTATCTAGAAAGCGATCAGTTAATTATTATTAACAAGCTGAATACATGCGTATCAATCAAGTTTCGATTAAATCGAAATCATATATACTTCTAGTAGTCGGACGTACTTTAGCCACTTCATTGTTAGAACGAAGAGATCGATCATTGTGCGTCGCAATAATAATACTTACGAGCTCGTCGCGCAGCTGCGGCTCGAATCCGATCGCGGCTTCGAGCATCGCGTACTTATCGTCGTTTACATTGAGCCGCAACAGCAGGAGCAGTAACCTCACGACGCACCGCAGACCGTGGCCGGCGCGTTCCCGTTCCTGCAACAGCCCAATTACCGCGTTACATCACGCCGCATTGACGGACTGCACGTCGCCAATCTGTTCGGATGATGCGAAGACCGAGATTTGGGTCAGGAATCGAAACCGGTATAATTTTCACGAGGTCAGACTCTCCTCCGTAATTTTTTTCTCTCCTTCTCACCCTCCTTACATTTATTAATCGTTTGTGATGTTTTTTATGCCATTAAAGATTAAGTCAAAACTGTAACAGTTTTAATTAATTGTGTATAGATTGTATAAAATAATCTTCGAAGAATAATTGAATCTTGAACAAAAGTAAGGGAATACAGAAGATTTTGTTAAAAGATCTAAAAATTTTGCTAAAAACAGATCTGAAAATAATTTTTTAGTGAATCATCAAAATAATTTGTTGGAATGTTAAAACTGATGAGTATTGCTATAAAATGTTTTGATATTCTAGCAATCATTTTGACTTTCGCACAAAATAATTTTGATTATTGAACAAAAATTATTTTCAGACCTGGATTCAGCAAAATTGTTCTTTCCGTGAAGGGAAGACAAATAGTGTGACTTCAAATTTCTCCTTTTTCCCGGGTTTATTTTACCATTACTCGTTAATAGAAAGACAGTTCTCAAGCATCCAATCATCTTCTGAAAAAGCCGTAAAATCAAAGGCCAATTATAGTTAGCGGAGAAGTTTAAAATTTTGCATTCGTGAAAGTAAAACCTGGATCTTTTTTTGATATTTGAAGTTATATTTTCTTAATTGCTAAATCGTTGAATGAGATTTAATTCTATTCGATGTCATACGGTATCTTTTTCCTCTATTTTGATATAATATTCGTATATGCTTGTATATTAATTTTATTTCTCTCAGTAAAATTTTAAAGGAAAAAATAGCTTCTGGGGCAAATAATAACAATTTTTAGTTGGATAAATAATGACAATGTCAAAAAGCTTTTTTAATATTTGAATATAATTTTTCTAATTCATTTGCGATAATGTGAGATTAGTTACAAGGCAAGATCCAGAATAAATGTGATTTTCAATAAGAAATACTAGCAAATAATGTTACTACTATTATTTATCAATAAATAAAAATTTACATACGGCAGAGTATAGAAATTAATAGAAATTACCTTATCTAATCAAAATGTCAAAAGAAAGATCGATTAGGCGTTAAGAATTATGTATTTTGTAATTGTCCCATAGGGTGTCACTATATTTACCCATATAGGGTGAGGCAAATAGTGACAAATGTAGGTTTGAGTTTTTATGAAAATCTACAAGCGTAAACATGAGTTATGGAAACTCTAATTAAGTTTTTGTATATTTGAAAGTGGAAAGTACTCTTTTAGTGAAAAATCTTGTAAACTTGAAATTAGAAAGGAAAAAATCCGTCACATTTGCCTCCCCCCCCCCTCCCTACCCCTACATGAATACTTGCTCGATTTAACTTATTTTCATACATATCTATTTCAACGTACTCCTGCAATAATGAGAAGATTATTCTTGCGTTTATTACTTTTTCCGCGATGTACTGACAAATTATTAATAAAATTAAAATGTTATGTGTTCCAGATTCAATTTTTATTCTTTAATCATTCTCTACGTCTCGGCTATCACGAGTTAATTTTTGATGGCTCCCCGTAAGAATTCAAATGTATGGAAAAGTCAAAAGAAAAATTTAGCAATAAAATGTTGGAGATTACGAAACTATACAATTTTGCAAAATAAATCCTTATCCGAGTGATTTTTTCAATTCAGTTATTCAATGATTCCTTCCCGGTGTCGTTGTCTTCCCCTTCATTACCTATCTAAACACGGTTCTCGCGCGGATCAGTGCGCTTACATCGAATTCCCTTCCCCGGAGTGCCATAAATCTCGTAAATAATAAGCCACTCGAGCGCGACGAGAGGGATCGAGTAACGATCGCGGGTACGTTGATATAGTTTCGCGAAACCGCTATCGTTGCGATTGCCATCTCCGCTTCCAGATCGGTTCGCGATAAAACGTGGCGTACCCGTATCGGCCGCGATCGGCCGCCAAGTGGCTCTCACGTGTTTTATATGGCCGCGATTATGGTCGCCGCTCGCCGTCGCTGTCAGCGTCGGGTGAATAAGCGAGGGCAACTACAGGCTGACAATTACAGCGTGCGCGATTCGCGAGCGTTATCGAGACAAGCAAATTCTCAGACTACAGTTCAGTTGCTGCACTAGTTACAGTTTTCCCACGAAAAGTGTACAGAAATTATGAATAGAATTTTTTTTTAATTAATTACATGTAACAGAAAATAAAAGTTTTTTATATCACAATTTCTATCCAGAAAAAAAAATTTTAATCAATTAAAGATCAAATTTCGTATCACTTTTAACAACAAGAATTCTTAAGGAAAGGGGGAGCAAATAGTGACAAGGGGCAAATAGTGTCACTTGAAATTTCTCCTCTTTCCTGCGTCTATTTTACCACTACTCGTTAATAGAAAGATAGTTCTTAAGCATCTAATTATCTTCTGAAAAAGCTGTAAAAATCAAGAGCAAAATATAGCTAGCGGAGAAATTTAACAATTTTCATTCGTGAAATAAGATAAAACCTGGATCTTTTTTGATATTTGAAGTTATATTTACTTAATTGCTGAATCGTTGAATGAGATTTAATTCTATTTTATGTCATATGGTATCTTTTTCCTCTATTTTGATACAATTCGTATGCTTGTATATTAATTTTATTTCTCTCAGTAAAATTTTAAAAGAAAAAGTAGCTTCTGGGGCAAATGATAACAATTTTTAGTTGGATAAATAATGACAATGTCAAAAAGCTTTTTTAATATTTAAATATGATTTTTCTAATTTATTTGGGATAATGTGAGATTAGTTACAAGGCAAGATCCAGAATAAATATGATTTTCAATAAGAAATACTAGCAAATAATGTTACTACTATTATTTATCAATAAATAAAAATTTACATACGGCAGAGTATAGAAATTAATAGAAATTACCTTATCTAATCAAAATGTCAAAAGAAAGATCGATTATAGGCGTTAAGAATTATGTATTTTGTAATTATCCCATAGGGCGTCACTACATTTACCCATATAGGGTGAGGCAAATAGTGACAAATGTAGGTTTCAGTTTTTATGAAAATCTAGCCCGTATACATGACTTATGGAAACTCTAATTAAGTTTTTTGTATATTTGAAAGTGGAAAGTACTCTATTAGTGAAAAATCATAACTTGTGAACTTGAAATTATCTTGTAGGAGAGAGAGGAAAAAATCCGTCACCATTTGTCACCCCTTCCCTTACTGTTTTTAATTTTTTAAAAATACTACAGTAGCAAGACTTGATCTCTTTTAATAAGAATAGAGATTACTAACTACGTAGATAGAAACGAATGAAAATTTGTTTAAAAAAAACAAAGATTCGAACTGTATCGACAATATTGAGAACTTGCGAAATCAGGTTTGTATTAAGCGTACTTCCAATTCAACGCGTATCAGTTTAACGGTAAAGATTGATCTTAAAGCGAGGTCGATTTGTTGTAAAGAGAAGAGGCCCAGCTGTTACAGGAAGGTATAGGACAATCGGTCAATTACCGCTCGTGCGATCGCGAGATCATCCAGAAGCGCAAAGATCGCGCGATAGGTCGACTCCAAGAGGAACGGCAGTCCGGTTGCGGCCAGAGACCGGGTGTTCTTCTCCCTTACAGCGCGCAGCATCCTCCTTTCAATGTTTCTCAACTGGGTCGACAGCAGCCCGATCTCGCTCTGTACTTGAGAACAAAAAAAAAAGCATACTGAGGAAGAGAGAAACGGGGGATGGGCGTTGGGGGGAAGGGGGGGGTAATTAATCGACGGCAACGGCAATGTTAATGAATCGGACGCCGCCAACGCCGACATCATCGTCGAGCGAAACTGCGAAAGAAACTAATCTTAAATCTTATACGGGAGCGGCGAAAGCATGAGTTTGAGAGAGAGAGAGAGAGAGAGAGAGAGAGAGAAGTAGAGATAAGAAAGATAAATTCTGAGAATTCTCATCCGCGCGAAATCTTGCACCGGCCTTTATAAGAAGATTTGTAGCTTATCAAATCTTCAATTATTTTCTAAGATAGAAGTAGGAAGATTAATAAAAAGTCGGAGAGAAGGACAAGAGTGTTTAACATTTGAAAATAGGACTTTGAATTAGAAAAAATGAAAGAATAAAATTAGTATTAGATATCTAAAAGCAGATAAATAAATAATTACATTTGCATACATAGCGACATATACACTTACGAATATATAAGCGCATGAATGTATTGTACTTATTTCTTTAAATTGTTCAATATTAAAATTAAATTATTATATTATTATATAAATTAAATTTAATTAAAAGGTTTGCGGTTTTGCGTTACAGCCTCATTTTAAATAAATTACCGCGATTTTATCCGCCGCCTGGCGACTACGATAGTGCGCCTCCATCTGAGATTGGACCAGCTGTATGTGGTTTTGCGCGATGGCGGTCGTAAAGTTTCCGGTAGCCTTGTCTTTGAGCCTGATCACCAGCTGCTGAACCACCAAGGCCATCGAAATCCCATCGTTCGACTGCACTCTATATCGATTGCTGGTAGCACCGGAAACGATCGTCACCACGCTGCCAGTTTGCACGTGCTGCAAGCCAAGTGCGTTCCAATTTTGCCTCTGTACGTCTCCTGTAAACTCTATGGGGAATTAACGTAAGTTAAATTAAAATCTTTACACTAACTTCTAAACTTCTGGAGAAAACAGCTGAATGTAAGAAAATTTAACCGTGCATTTCCGTCAAACTTTGCAATTTTCAGTATGGTAAACGTGCTCTCAGATTTAAGAGTTTACAGTAACAGGGGTGCATTAAATTTAAAATCGACTTATGGTACCTTAAAGTAGAGATTTCAAGCTTTAATTAAAAAAAAGTTTATCATGAAATGCACTGGAATGTACAATTAAATTTTTTTATTAAATTCAGACAGTTACTTTTTTTTTACTTTTCCACTATCTTTATTTAGCGTTTGATGCCCGAAATAATTAATGTGTTTAACTTTAAAAATATACAATAAATTAAGGGGTTACACTACCTTGACCGCCTAAAAATCATACGTAACTTTGGGAATTTTTTTTATGAAAACAATAAAAGTAATAAAAAATTCGTTTTAAGGCTTTAATAATACAAGTCTTTAGAAGTAAAAATATTTTTTTCATTTATTTTTTTAATAAAATAACGCTGAAGCCATTTTATTAAACATCGTTTTGTAGCCACTGTCAAATCGGCGTTGCGGGGATCTGCCATTCGATTGAATCTGGAGCAAAAAACCAAATTTTTTAAAAACTATATAATATGTACTAAAGAAATACATACGGATATTTTGATATATAGATTTTTATAAAAATTGCGAACATTTGAAAAAAAAGTCATTTTTGACCAAAAAATTTGGTCAAGAAATGTTAAATTAAAAAAAAGTATTTAACATATTGTAATATCCATATGTATTTCTTTAGTGCATATTATATAGTTTTTAAAAAATTTTGGTTTTTTGCTCCAGGTTTAATCAAATGACAGATCCCCGCAACGCCGATTTGACAAAACGACGTTTAATAAATTGGTTTCAGCGTCGCCATTTTGTTAAAAAAATAAATAAATAAAATATTTTTTACTTCTAAA